ATTGTAGGAACAATTTGAAATAGAGGTTGAAATTAGAAACCTGGAGGTTTCATGCCCAATATGGGAGGAGGGTCGAAAAAATATGTGGGACAAACTCTTAGTCAGCGTCGTATACTTGGTCTTCCTGTGCGGTGTAGGTAGTTATTCTCAAATATTTGCTCAANCCTGTGCGGTGTAGGTAGTTATTCTCAAATATTTGCTCAACAGAGAAATCTTACTCATGTCGCAGAGAGGTGCAGCATTTGGATCGTTTCGGCTTACCGAATGGTATTCGTAATGGCAACGGGTATATATAGTCACTACCGCCCGCCGATTTAGTGTTGGAGGAACGAGCTACTAGATATTACCTTTACCTGGATCGTGGCTGGTCTCAATACCGAGAAACGGCTAGCACTTTGACATATGACCATGTTCTGAAGGCGGGCTCACCTCTCTGGAGAATTGAGAGGCAAATGGAACAGGTTCCTCGTCGGATCCAACTTACTGGAAAAGTGTGTTAACCGGACAGACAGTGAGATGACTTATCGTCTCATCCAAGTGATATCCTGTCACAATTGCTTTAATGAATATCTCCACCATATTTGTAAGGCAGCCACGACGATGTTCAACCACTGTTTGGATCGACTGCACACTCTCTTTCGATGCGAAGCGTAAGCCTAAAAGCGAAACTCTTTGAAGTCTCAACTGGGGTTCACGTTTAATGCCTAACCATATTCGATTCGATGTTAAAATCGTTATGTATTGTAACATTTTGCAAAATAAATTTTTTTTAAATTATAAGATAAAAGAAAATATTTTTATTAAATTATACTATAGATGACAGAATTAAGTTTAGCATTGAGTGGTCAGTGAAATCAAATATTTTGTCCTCCAATAAAAAATGTTTGTGGACGTCCTTGAAAATTCAATAGGAATTAGTTATGGGAATTATCGAAAAGTAACTATCGATCTATCCGATAGCTGTCCACTCTTCGAACTATTCGATAGTCGTTCGTAAGCTATTGAAATAGAAAAAATATTCAATAGTTATCCAATATATTCCAATTTTATTCAAACTATTCTATAGTTTTATAAATATTTGATAGTTTATGCTAAAAATAAACTATTCTATTGCAAAAGAACAATTAAAATAGTTATTTGATAGTTTTAAATAACTATCAAATATAGTTCAACAGTTTTAAATATTCGAAAATGCCCATAACTAATAGGAATATTTATTATAATAACGTTAAAAAAACAGTCAAAATACGCAAAAATAAATATTTTAACTACTTATTTTTATAACTTAGAATGATCACAGTTCATTGAAAATTATATTAAATAATAGATAATATATTTTTTTAAAGATGTTTAGGTAAAACAAGATATAGCGTCCTATCATAGGACGTTTCTTATAGGACTCCAATAAGAAACGAATGGCGACCGCCACAGAAATAGAATTCGTGACATTACGTGCCTATTTAATAACACCCGTCAACAACGCGAAATATAGACAAAAAATTCGCCAACAAAATTGTTGTTATTTTTTTGTTGGGTAGTACTTTAATATAACTCCCATGCTAAAAGATTAAACCTTAATTTATCTAATTGNTTGTTGGGTAGTACTTTAATATAAATCCCATGCTAAAAGATTAAACCTTATTTTATCTAATTGTGACTAAAAAAAAAAAAAAAAATCATTAAAAATGTTCAAAAATGCAATCTAAAATTTTTTTAGCTTAATCTTCATATGGTTTAGTTTCATTTATGAATATAAGTATTATGTTGATAATTTCGGAAGACGTCAAATACAAATCATAAAAAAAAAAATAATAATAAAAAACCCAACACAGGGGGATCGCGGCATAGTGATGACGTAGCATAAATGGATTAAGTATAACAATATCTGACAGTGATTAAAATCACTATCATAAAAATCGCTTCGATGCAAATCTTTAGATATTGTTTAATTAAAACAAATTGGTGGATTATTCCAAAAGTTATATATGATCTGCTATATCCTTATTTATATCCTAATTAAGATAAAGTATATCGAATGAAAAAAGGATATAAATATTATTTCTCATAAAAAAATTGTGTTGATCCGTACACTTTTCAATGAGTTATAGCATTATAAAGTAAAAAATGTAAAATATAAAATCAAGAATTTTCACACAAAAATAGCATTCGGTAGCCGTTTTCATCACGAAGACAAGTCCAGAGGTCAATTTTTTTTTTCAAATTAAACTATATTACATTAGCTTTAATTTAAGATATATATAAAAGTTTCAGACCTTCCGGAACATTTTCAAAAGTTAATTTGTAGTGAAAAAGTTGTCATTTTAAATCCCCCCCTGTGGGCTAGTAAAGGGTAAATTTACAAAAAAAATATTCCAAATGATAAGTAAAGACATCAAGCATCTAAAAAAAAAAAAAAAAATTATATTGATATGTTAGTTTTTGAAAAAGTTACGGCAGATTTTAGTAAAAAAAATTGAAAAAATTTCGAAAATTAGCGATTTTTAAATGTGTAATTTTTTTTTTTGAGGTTTCCCCCATCAACGAGGGAATTTTTTTCAATTTTTGAGGGTAATGTCTTCGACTAGACACGATTTGTGATCTTTTGACGTATCATTGAAAGAAATCCGTTCGGTGAGAGCTGAGAAAAAGTAGTAACAGATACAAAAAAAAAACACATCATAGTAAAACCAATAATTTCTCAGCTTTGCATCGAAGCTAAAATGTTAAAAATAGCCAGCTAACATGTAATATTTAGCATTAGAAAATCAGTAAAAATCCGCTCAAAATCAAATAATTTAATGATAGTTTTTGTTGTTTTCTAACCACATTTTTATAATTTTTTTATATATTATTGTATAAGTAATATAGTACGATTCAAAACAATTATTATATATGTAATAATTATTTAATTCATTATTTTAGTTGCAAAATAAAAAATAAATTAATTAAATTACAGTCATAATATTATAAAATATTTTAATAAATAATCATGGTTTTATTCTAGTAGTTAGAATATTCTGTCTTCATAAATATCAGTTAATGATATCTTAAGACTTCTTATGATATTATTATTAATTGGTAAAATTCTTTGGTATAGTATATTGGTAAAATTGGTCAAAAGAAATCGGTTCGGTGTGAGCTAAGAAAAAAAAAAAAGCATCATAATAAAACTAGTACCTTCTTAGATTCAAAACTAATACAGAATGTTAATATTTCTTCACTATAAAACTCAATACAAAACAATAAAAGTTTTTGTGTTATAATTGATAAATACTGTAACAAATATTTTGAACTAATAAAAAAAGTTTTATTAAATTTTGGAAAAATGAAATTTAATAAATAAAATAAACTTGTGTTAAAATAAATAAATAAAAAATTATGAGCAAAGAGAATTTATAGAATAAATTTGTTAGATAAATCAGACTATGACGAGTAAGTTTTCTCTTTTGCTTGTACACTGTAAAAAAAATTTTTACATGAGAATGACCGTGGGTTGTTTTTTTTTGTAGCTATATCTTTAATACTTTCTCTTTATGGACCTATTTTGTAAAAAATAACGTCTGCACATATGCCTCTTTTGGTAGCTATAGTCATAAAATTTGTTAAAAACATATAAGACATTTAAACTACTTAATTTTCACATCAATGAGGTTTGTCGTTCCCCATTTAAAAGGAAAAGTTTAGTTAAAACATCATGTACACTAATTATTTAATAAAAAAAAATATTAAAAACAATTTTAGATAGATTTTTGTTTAATAGAATAATATTAAAAAGTAAAAAATAATGACCTTGAACTGTATTATTACATTATTTTGTTTCTTATTAATTAAAATTTAACATTACAAATATGTAATGTGTAATACATACATAAATATGTATCTATTTCTTAGTTAAGTTTAGATAAACTTTTATACAACATTATCATATGATTTACCTAAAAAAAGGTGGGGAATTAATGTTTCCGTATTCAATACTGATGTTCATTCTATCAAATCATATAATAAACACGTTGTTATGTTTGCCATTGAAATACTGTTGATTAATTTTTAAAAATGTTCATCAATGTAGTTTTTTTCTTTATACTGCAAAATGCATTTTTCATAACAAGTTTATCCTCGGAGTGTTGGACTACAGGTTGCCAACTAGATACTTGGTCTGTTAGAGGATGTCAAGAATATAATATGAGAGAAGTAGGTCGTCAACCGTGCTATAATGGTTTAATGTTTACATGTTGTAGCTATACAGATGATGGTAAGTATTTTAGAATTAAAGTAATTTTACTACTGATTCTACGGTCATGAAAAACTCAAAACTATTTTAGTTTAAAATAGCTTTCTATTAAAAATTTCGACAACATTTATTTAAAATTCTTAAAATTTTAAGAATTAATTCTATATATTTTTTGCAAGTACAATATAATATTGGGAAATCTAGTTTACCCAATTTTCTCAATTCCTTAGAAAAAACTCGTTAACCTTACAAATTTTTGAATACATCTTTACAAGTCATGTATGGCTTAGTATGACAAAATTATTATAGATATTGTTCTACATTAAGATATGATGAATTAAATTTTTGCTAAAAAAAATGATGTGTTAATTGGTGTTTATTTTAGCTATAACTTTTAAAGACCCTTTGAATGACAATGGAAGTTTATGTTGGGAAACAGGATGTCAGCTTAATAGTTGGACTATTAAGGGATGCGAGGAATATAATATGGTCACTATAAAATCAAGACCTTGTGAAAATGGTAAACACTATTATTGTTGTCATTCAAATGCACAAGAAACTTCAAACGTCAAACCAACAATACCATCTAAAATGACGACAAAATCTCCTCCACTCTTATGTGGAATAAATAATCCTGATGCACATCTTAGAATTTACGGAGGAAATGCATCTCAATTAGGTAATCGAAATATATTTTTCTTATAGTTATTTAATATTTGACATTACTTATTGTTATGATTTGGAGTATGATGACAAAGTTAATCTTTTATGATTTTTTCTGTCTTCTGTGAATCGATTGAAAAACTAAAACTTACATAATAACTTTTTCCATATTTTATCCAATATCATAATTTTTGTTATTGTCTCTTTCATCTTCTAAGGTATAAAATATGAATTTTCCTAAAAATTACTATTTTTATCATCTTTTTCCAACTATGCGGTTTTATGTATTGCTTTGTGCGATTTATTTTGAGAAATACATGATGAATTTATCATATTTTCTTATTCGTCAACTTAACCCATCTTACCTTACAAAACATATTAATTATAGGTGATTGGCCCTGGATGGTTGCTTTAGGAATCAAAGAAGTCGAAAAAAAAAATCGTATTCAAAAATGGCCATGTGCAGGAACATTAATATCAGATAGACATGTCTTGTCAGCAGCTCATTGTTTTTCACGAAAACATCAATTACAATTGTATGTTTAGGTGATTAAGTATGAATTAAAAATGGCATTTTTAAAAATTTTTTTAGCTAACTAGATAAGATGAAGGATTTAATTTGTATTTAGGGAATATGGTATTATGAGCCCTTTATCGATATCCATTTTTATGTGATTATAGTAATAGTGATGCAATGAATTTAAGACTGAATAATCTTATAATATGATACATATGCTTTAGAAACACAGCAAGATTTGGTAATATAAATCTTGACCCTAATATATCTGATGGCGTGTCATCTACGATAGACATTGGAATAAAGAACATAACGGTTCACGAGTTATATGATCCTAAAAATACTACTCATGACATTGCACTTTTAGAACTAGAACTACCAGTGCACTTTAATGGTAAGATTATAAAATTAAAATATTTAAAAATTAAGTATACTTTTTTCTATTTAATATTAATATCATGTATGTATATAATTCCTTAATTAATATAAAATAATTCATAAAACAATATTTCTTTAAAAAGAAATTGCTATTAATTATACATTATATTTAATTGTATTCTAATATTTTAAAAGTAGCAAATTTTTAAGTGTTTTTTTTTTGCACGTAAATTAGAAATTATGTCTCAAAAGCTACGAATTCAATACTTTGTATATATAAAATATTGGCTAATTGACTATAACAATACTTTATTTTTTTTGTTTCACACGGTCGACATAATGTTGGCTGCCCTGGAACTACCGTGAGGTATTGCTTCAGGGCAAAACTATAACAATACTTATATACTTTGAAAATTCTCGTTCCTGTAAACTAAGAATACTTATGATATAGAATATATCATTATTTTATATTTTTTATAGCAAAAAAAAAATGAAATAAAATAAATTTTGTAATAATTTTAACTCAACTTTTTATAAATGTAATATATATGTATATGCATTATTATATATAGAACTTTTTAGGTTTTAAAAGGAGTTATTGGAATTTTATAAGAGTTAAAAGCCTTCTTTACATAAATGTCCGATTATATAAAAGTTATAGTATTTGTCTTATATGATTCAATAATATTTGAATTTTTTTTTAATCAAAATTAATTAAGTTGTAATGAGTTAATTAACTTGGATAATAATTTCTTTGATTTTTTTTAGAGTTCATTCAGCCAATATGTTTACCTGGGAGTGTTAATTTTTCCGATGACACCATGTTGACTGTTGCTGGTTGGGGTACAACTGCAGAAGGTAAAAATTTATATACTATAAAGTTGTACCATGGAATAGAAAGAACACTAGCATAATTACAAGAGAATATAGGTGTCATATCCCACCAAGACAAAAATAATTACATGATGAAGATATCATTTTTTTTTGTTTAGCAAAAAAGGTGAAAAATTTTCTTATGCAATTGTTTTATAATTGTCCATTAAATTTCTTCTATAATAGTAGTAGTTTTGAAAGTTTTGGGGCTTTTATTAGTAGTATTTATTTCTAACCTATTTATTTATCCTATTCTAAGTGATTAATTATTTTTAGGTTCATCTTTAATATCCTTTATAAATGTACCAACTTAAATATTTAATGGTAATATGAATACAATTTTTACTAAATTTAAAATATTGACTGAGGTGAGGATTTGGTCTTGCTATTTTTATCACTAGATATTTCCCGATCGTACTCTTCGTGCCGCCTTTGTATAAAAATGAAAAAAAATTCCAAAGTACTGGTCCAAAAATTGACACCCCATTAAGTTATGAGGAATGATTCTAGAAAGTTATTACTTTCCAATAAATCAATAAATATATGTTACTAAAAGAAATAATTTTATATATGGGTGGGAAGAACGGAGAGTCAGAGTAACGGGTAATGATAAAAATAACATAAGTCTCACTTTGCTACTCGTTTATATTTTAAACTGTTGTTAATTTACATAATAATAAAAATCTATAGGTTGTTTTATAAAAGTTTAGAATTAAATTCATTAAATAAATTATTCTCTCTTGAAATTGTTATGAAATTGTTTTTCACACAGATCCAGAAAACACAAATTTAATGCAAGTATCAGTTCCGATTGTGAAGAATAAAATTTGTAAACGCTTGTATCCTCATTTACCAATTGACGAAAAAGTTATTTGTGCTGGAAATTTAAAAGGAGGACAAGATTCATGTCAGGTATATAAGTTATTATATATTATTATAACATGAAAAAATAATTTTTGAAAACGTTTAAGACTGTGTCAAATATAAACATTATAGACTTTTAACTTGGGACTTTAAATAATTTTTTTAATGGGAAATTATGTGGCATAATCAGTCGCCACTATAGCATTAGTGTTTAGCTTTACTGTTAGCTATTAGTTCTTAGATAGGTTACTATACAGGAACTTTAACAGTTACTCACACTTTTTAATTATTATTAATATTTCTTAAAATTTGTAAAATACATAAAAAAGAAAATTTAAATTGCTTTAATATGAAAAATCGCAAGTAATCACAAAATATTTTAGATTATTTATCGATTGATAACTTTACTTATGAAACGATACATTTATTCTATGGATTTTCTTAATTTTTTGAGATTAATTTGTGCATATAGAAATATCACAAATAATCCTTCTTTAATATTATTGTTTTCCATGTTTAAAAAAATGAAAAAGTTTGCTTGACTCGAAATTAATGAAAAAATTTTTTAAGTATTTCGTATTAATCTGAAATATTTTTCCGTAACATGACGTAAACGAAGACGCATAAAATATTTTTAATGTATATTTTTCAAATTACGCTCCTGACAATGTCAAATTTAATCACCAATTAATATAATATATTAATAATTAATTTATGTTAAATAAAGGGAGATTCAGGAGGACCATTAATGTGGAAAATAGAAGATAAGTACTATATAGTGGGTATAGTATCTTATGGACTTCTTTGTGCGGAACCTAATCAACCTGGTGTTTATACCCGAGTGACTTATTATAAGAAATGGATTACTAGGCAGATAAAAAGACGAACTTGAGATTTTAATATTGAAGACCTAATATTGTATTACTACATTTTAAGAATAATATTGTTATATGTTAAATATTTCCGTTATAATAGTTCTGTTATACAGTTTTAGGTTAGGAAAATATTTGATTTATATTTATAGTAAGTTTTTTTTATTGAATTATTCTGTTCATATAATAAACTGTAAAAAAATGTATGATTTAAAATTTTAAGTGGTATTTATGTAAATGTGAATTTCATTCATTAATAAATATATGTAACATTAAATATATATACATGTATATGAGGTTGACAAAGATTGTTGAATATCAATAGTATTTTTTTCATATAAAAATTTAAAAAATATTTCAATATCTATGTTAGATTTGAATGCCATCATTTTTTTTACTGTAAATAGAAATAACTTCATTATTAGGAAGCATATTAGATATTACAAGTTTAATTCAAATAAAATATATGATTTGACAAATATTAAATAATATTTTTTTTCTAATAGTTTCTAAAACTAGAAAATATTTTTTAAGTTAAGGAAATATGTTAAATAAAGATTTAAAATAGCTAAAGTTATTCGATCACATGGTAAGAGGTTGTAAAATATAACATCCTAATTTCATAATTTCTAAAAATTGTTCATGGTTACTTGATATTTTTGGAATTAAATACTCTCATAAATTAGTTTACCTTTATAATAATACATAAAATATGAGTCAAAATATTTAATTTTTAAATGTTTGTAATTCAATTTCATAAATTTGTAATTATAATATAATTGATCATGGGTTTTTTTAGTTAAAGTTTTGTTTATTAATAGTTCAGCAATAGCATCATTGAAGGATGTAATGACATCACGGTCATTACTCTTCTTTAGGTTTTTAATGAGTGTAGTCATACAATGTAATTATTTACAAAATACATATTTAATACCTTATTTGTAATAACATAGTAATTACTTCTTAAAAAATTTACCTAAGCCCAAGCAGAACGTATCAAGGTTAATAAATAAATTAATGTCAAACCGGTTTTGTTAGTTAACATAGCTTTTTTCGTTACATGACAATGATTGTCATAAAAAATAAATACATAGTTAGAATACTATCTATGTATTTAAAATTTTATTTATGAGGCACGGTAGAATATATAAAATTGGCTCCACTTCAAGGGGGTGGTTTATAATATGTTATTAATTTGAATAAATAATTAAGACTTCTATTGATATTTATTAATAAGTTTTTAAAAATATTTGTTGATTGAGCTTAGTTTTAATTAAGTTTGATGAATGTTCATTTTGTAAATTTAATTAAAATAGCAATAGTTAATTCATTGCATTTGAATTTATTTAGAGGGACTTAATTAGATAGATCCAAATTTGCTTCAATTTACAAGATGTTTTTGTGTAAGCTTACAATTCATAATTATAACATATATATAATTAACTCTACTTATTGTTATATTGTAGCTATTTGAGATATTTATTTTACTTTTCTTCGATGCTCGTTAAACATTTTCATCCTCACCTTTATCTTTTCAGTTGGTAAACCCCGGTAAGGGTATACCTACCTACACTAATTTTTACAAATTCCATTTTTTAAAAATTAATATAATTATTCAATTTCCTTTTTTACGTTTTTAAAAGTATTATTATATGGAAAGTGTCTAGTTCTGTACCTGATTTCCATTATTTCTGTTTTCTTTAATATTTATAACAATCCTATTAATTGAGATTGACTTAAAAGTATTATGGTTTCTAAATAACTTAAATAATTGTAGATGACTCACTGAAATAATAATAAATCAAATTAATTATTCTGTCTCATATTTATAATTAATTTCTATACTCTATAGACCATAGACATACAAATAACAAACTACGCACTAGATTTTATCATTGGGATTATCATTTACTTAAATTAAATATATATTTTACAGGAATATTAGAGTCTCCCCTCTTGATAGGGTTCAGCCTCATCTTCGCCAATTTTTTTTGTAACTGTCTTCATTCAAAATTACATTGTAGCATTTAATGATGGTGATTTTCATTAATGTTAGATTTCAATGTATAACATTTCATTATACCATTTGACGAGTCCCGACTGTGCTGCGGATATCATTTTATGACTGAGAAGCTTTAATTTCCTTCGTGTTACGCAAAAAATCCTACTTTTATACGTATGCAAATTTACGTCTATTTTATTGAGCTAATTGAGATTTTAATTTTAGATTTGACGTTATCAAAATTAGGGTGTGATAAGCAAAAAAAATAAAGGTGCTAATATTAGGTATCCGAAATATCTAATATGATACGAGTTTCGTATCATAGGGATTTTTATTCTTAATAATAGCTCTATAATGGCTTCTACTCAAAAACACCCACCAAAGGTTTATTAATATCTATTTAGATTTTTTATTACAAAATTTTTTCAGTTGGCGTGGTCATTTTAGATAAAAGTATAAAGACGAATCAAGAATATTTATTTAGTAAATATATGTTAATAAGATAGCGTTACGTATTAAGCTCAATTAAAAATATTCTTATAATTGTTTATAGGTTAATTGAAAAAATATAAAATAATAAACACAAAGTTATAAATTATTTCTAATATTTATATCATAATTAGATATATCTTGTTATCTTCTGACTTACAGTTAGGTAAAATTAATTTTAATAGGTATGACTACTTAATGTTATGGCTAAAATTGAACATTTATTTTGAACATAATACCTTTTCACTAAAAGAAAAAAAAGTGCCGTGGAGAAAATTATAATTTAAACTAGTTAGGTAAAATTAATTTTAATAGATATGACTACTTAATGTTATGGCTAAAATTGATGATTATTTTCATAAATTTTTACTTAGACAAAAAAAAAATTAACAAGTTTTTTAAAATCCATTTCTTTATTGTTTTATATTTGACCCGATTATTCAATTAACGATTTAAACCACAATTTTTGTTACAATTTTATTATGCATAGTTCACGTTTGTCAATTTTATTTACACAAATTCAGGTATCTATTTTATAGAACATTTATTTTGAACATAATACCTTTTCACTAAAAGAAAAAAAAGTGCCGTGGAGAAAATTATATTTTAAAACATTTATTTAAACTGATTAAGTAATATAGTAACAAATTATCTTACTAGCATTCTATTACATTTTCTTTGAACCAGTATATAAAAACCCTAACATTTTCTTGGGAGTTTACAATGTTTTTTAAATATTATCTTTAAAAAGTGAATTTAATTTTAACTTAATGTTCATTTTATTATTTATTATATAAAAACAAAATTTACCACAAAAACTAAATTCAGCAATATAATAATGACAATATGATTTAATCTGTATAGTTTAAAACAACACAAATCACATTTTAGTTTTGAGTGTTCTGGTAAATGTTTTAAAGCTTAAATTTGAATGTCTAATAATGAAAATATTTGCGTCGATAATTACAAATATTTCATGAAATACTAATTAAATTAATTATAAATTTATTTCATTAAATAAATATTTCTTGATTTTTATTTCCATACGTTTTCTTCGATCCAAGATATAAAAGCGGAGACTTTAGTATACACGCTTGGTACACCTGGGTAACCACATGATTTTCCAAATGATATAATACCTATTTGGGTATATGTCGTGAATTCACCACCTGGATTTTTTACTTGTAATGGACCTCCTGTATCAAGCTAAAAAAAATAAATTTTCCATTAAATATCTTCATTTACTTTGTATTTCTATTTTATCCTTGAAATTTATTTGAAGTCATCATTTTATTTTATAAATTTTCAATCTTTGAAAAAATTCTTAATCCACATGACTGCTTTAAGTATGACATTATTTTTACTTACCACACAGGTATCTTCCACATACTTAGTACAAATTTGACTGTCACCTGATATTTGAATTCCATATTGTTTATTAACACCCGTGGAATAAACAGCATTGCATTCATTTTCTGATATGGTGCTCAGCATACTTTTTTGTAGTATTTTAGTTTGTTTTTTATTGTTGCCTAATTAAAAAATAAAACTTGTAAAATATTTCTCATATATATATATATCTGAGGTTTAGCTAATATACAATAATAAAGTGTATAAAAATGATAAATTATGTAAAAACCTGGGCTATGTTATATATTTGGCTAAAAAATCTTCACATGAATAATACACGTATTAAGTGTACTATATGAAGTCAATGTATGTTATTTATTTTTTGAACATGTCAATTATATATTTATAATAATGAAACTCTAAAGTATAGATATCTGGATAGTTTGTTGGGTAAAAACATAAAATCACTTAATCCATTAATTTATGATAATTTTTTTTGAAGTGATAAAAAAGAAATTATGTGAAATGTCAAGAAATATCGCATTTTCCCTTCTTGTATGACCTAATTTAGCTACTCTGTGCGGTCTTATTTTTCATTCATATTAAAGCCGGTAAAGCTTAAGACATATAAAGTGTGGTATACTTCAAATTACAATGCAAAAAGTATAATTATAAATATAATTTTTTAGTGAACTATTTATTTACACGTACTATAAACTGTAACATTTTGATCCCATTCTGTTGCGATTACTTCTGTAGGATTGAATAAATGATCTGAGTTCAAACAAATAGGTCTGATATTTTCTGAAAATTCAACTTCTCTGTTCAAACGGAATAAAGCTATATCATAATACATCGATGTCGGTCTATAGTTTTTGTGCAGTACTCGCTTTTCGATTTCATACAAATTTGCTTGTCGGTCTTTGTCATCTATCCAATCAGTATTAATTAAACCAAGGAGGACCCATCGTGCAAAATTAGCACTGTAATTTAAAATATACAAATTTTAAACTTATTTTCATAATCAGGGCTTTAAATTAAATGCAATTATAAATTTTGTTTGAGTCACTGTGAAGGGTGCAACATTGTCGTAGGATTATATAGTAACACAGATATATTTTTTATTTTAAAAGGATTTACCCCCTAATCGTCTAAAAACTATAATCTCGGTAAAAATTTATAACTAAATTTTTAGTCAATTATAAACATATGTACTGGCTGATAGTGTGTTCGGATTAACTTTATGAATGTATAACTTTATAAATTTATGAATGTATTTACATCATAGCACTGCTCATAACTTAGTTTAAAAAATAATATTAATTACGATTTTCCTGATTTATTGCATTGTGCTGATGATAATATCCATCTATTACTAATCAATGAACCACCGCAATCCCATGTTATTGAGTTTTCTGAATCACCATAACCTATCAAAGCCTAAATAAAAGTTTCTTGTAAGAGTTTTAAAATAATGATATGATTGTCAAATAAAAAATTATATATGAATCATATAGAGTGTTCAGTAAGTAAGGAAACGGGTATCTATTGTTTCATTGTTTGTAACAATTTACCTGTTTCCTTACTTACTGAACAGTCTGTATATTATATTTTATTACCATGTGTGGAAACTCTTTATAGTATGCTTCATTTAAATTTTTATTTTGATTTTTGTTAACTTCATGAAAACCCAACGAAAGAAAATCAAATGGTAACTTTTTATACTCATTACACACTGCAAAGTTTATTTTAATTTTATTAGAAAAAACTCTATTATTTATACACGGCTTATACTTTTAGCGGCATATTGTGATGTTCCTGATTTACTAGGGGTTAATGTTATCTTTGACGTTGTTGGAGTTACTTTATTATAAGACGGACAGCATACAATAGGTTCAAATCCTACAAAAGAACAAATTCGGGGATAATTACGCTTTTTAAGTGATTCATGTACTGCAACACAATCTTTGAGATGTCGACAAATATGATGTGGTTGTGAGTTATCCAAAGTTCGTTTGCAAACATCGCCTAGATTAATATAAAAAAAACTTATAATTTATAATAAAATTAAATATTTAAAATTTAACGAATTAACAAAATACAGGATATACTGTCGCTGAATAAGTATGTAACGCGTCAAATAAACTTATAATAAAGTATAATATTTTTAGTGTTTTATTTGAAATTTTAGCCTTTTTAAGTATAAATTTTATTTTATTCAAAACTTAACAATACATATACATATCGAAGATTTAGGCATTTCATTTAAAATGGACTAATTATTCTTTAACCTTACTAACCAATTACAATAAATTATTAATAGAAAAATAATAATATGAATATTATAAATAATAATTAACATATATAAAAATAGTATAATAGATATGGCTAATACAATGTAATAAGAATAATAGTAATTACCTTCATCGAGCTCCAATATTTGACCAAAGCTTTCTAAAATAATATGACTTGCATATTCGATATAAAATAGCAAAAGACAAACTTTAAAGCAATTTAACAACATTTTATTAAACTTAATTTTTTTTAAATAATGTAAATTATACGTTAAAAAATAGTACTCGTAAGAATTGAGTATTATTCTATACTGACATGAATATACCCATTAAAAAATCTCTGGTCAGATAGTTGGATGTAATATTGTTTACTTCTGTTTTCCACTTATGATATTGGCTCAATTCAGGTTTGCCACCATTAAAATGTTCAAGGTTCAATAGATGTTTGTCGAAGACTTGTTTTTAATAAGTTTTGATAGTTCAAAAATTCATAATATTAATGTAACTTACTATTTATACAGAATAATTTTTTATCAAAATTTTTAACATATTAAAGATTATGTTTAATATATTTATGAAAATATAAACAATATTGATTGATTAAAAAAAAATGATGTGTTAATTTTTCCATTTATCATCTATCCTTCAATTNAAAAAAATGATGTGTTAATTTTTCCATTTATCATCTATCCTTCAATTTTAAAAGAAATAATGTATAATTTAGCTAACGTTCTAACTACGTTTTAACGTCAGCTGTGTGATACTTTGAAACGCTCATTTCATAAATAAATTAACAAATATTTAGTAGAAAAAATATTTTCAACTAAATTAAATTTTTTTATAAATATGGTATTTTTTAAAAATATTTTATTGGTAACTTTTTAATGCTAAAAGAGTAGATTTTTAGTATATCATTTTCCTAGCCTAAAAATATTTTCAACTAAATTAAATTTTTTTATAAATTTGGTATTTTTTAAAAATAATTTATTAGTAACTTTTTAATGCTAAAAGAGTAGATTTTTAGTATATCATTTTCCTAGCCCTAATTATGAACAATGGAAACAATAAAGATCTTTTTTAAACTCCTTATTTTTTAACTGTTTAATTACATAAATTTTAAGTAGTTTACATTAGTTTACAATTTATTACATTTTATTTATTACAAATGAGTAAATTATTATAATATCATAATTTTTTGTGTAAAATATTCAATTATTGATTCATAATAACTTCTAAAAATATAACCATTTCTAGATCTAGTTGCAAAGGATAAAGTAGTATAACTAAACTTACAAAAATAAATATACCCAATACATATCATTCTTTTAGAACGTTAAACATTTTCAAATTAAATTTTAGTAGTTAGCAAACATGTATACATATTTAATTTAAAATCTCTTGAAGAAAGTTTTTTAACCAGATAACTGTCAAAGAAATACCATCTCAAGTGAATGCACACATTGCATCATGACTAATCGTGGGTTTTTTTAGATTTATTCATATTAATATTGCTAAGTTGAAATACTATTAATTTATAATAACTAGCTATTAATTTAGTCGTGGATCTGATAGGGTCCAATACACCTTGAACAGGGATATAATTATTTAACTTATGTTAGGGATTTATACTTAAATTTATTAAATATTTTGCATAAGTTTTCATTAGGTTAATTTTTTTAAATTGAAACTTCAAATATACGTATCAATGATGATAAATGTAGTGAGAGCTTTAAAAAAATATTTTAATGATTTGTAATATAAATACAATTTGATCTTGAAACAAATTGTTCAAAGATTTAATTTAGTTAAATCCACCGTGGGTGTCTTTAAAATAATATGACATTTTTTTGTAAATTGATAAATATATATTGAATTAGAGTTGTAAAATTTCTTCAAATGTTTTATTGTGAAAATATTTGAGAAACTTTTGGAAAATACGAAATTATTATTTTGTCATTCTTACAAAATTATTTTGTTAAAATGTTAATCTTTCACATTTTACAATTTATGGAATATATTTCTAACTTATAATTCTTTACAATACTTTTAAAAATAAAGAAAATGAGTCATAAGTTTTCAGCTCACAGTTTATACAAAAAAACTAATTTCTGAAATAAATTAGTATAATTAAATTTAATATTTTTCTCTGTTGAGTATAAAAATAATAGAAATTACGAACTATTTGAAAAATTTTTAATTATTTTTACTTTAATGATATTTGAACAATTTTGTTATATATTTATAGAAAGAAATCAAATTTATATAAAAGCACCAAAACCTTGCGTATGGAGGTTGTAAAACCACAATACGATTTATAATAAAAAATAGGAAGGAATTATCATCAATTTTATCATTTCTGCTCATATACTTATAATTATGATAGTGCATAAAAATTATGTTCAATTAAAGAATATCAGGTATGTATAAAATAATAACAAATCACCGTAGAACCTTCTTTGATTATTTAAAAATACCTGTATAAATTAATTAAAATTCAATGAATTTTTTTTATTGGTCTTGAAGGGTTTTCTTCCCAAAAATAAAAATACAAAAAAAAATGTATTTATTTATGTTAAAAGGTCCATACTTTATTTAAAATTCAACCAATGAACAGTACCACGTTTATATTTCAAAATATAAGGGAGAGACTGAAAATATGAAACCTTGAGAAATATCATTTACTTTCATTATCTAAAAAAATATAAATAATAAATTCAATTTCGTGTTGTTGTGACGAGTGAGAATGATTTCTGTTTTCATCGTATAAATTAAAAAATTTTTGTTGTGAAAAATTAAATATTTTTACATTTTTATGAGAACCCAACCAGCCTTTAGGAATTCAAAAAATGATTAAGAGGTGAAAAGGTTAACGTCCTCTGGACTAAAAATGTAATTTTTTTAGAACTGGAAAATCTGTACAGTTTGTTGGTATGGAATCGAACCTACGCAACAAGCAACGATATCTTAAATAGGTCGTCTTTTTATTCTTAGGCTATAAATAAGTAACACTTGAAAACGATCCACTGCATGATTTATAGGTTAAAAATGTAGCTCTGCAATATTTGTGAATTTGAACAATTCGAATTTTAAAGATTTTCAATAAGTTAGGTATATTCATTTCGTACTCTTTAGCTACACTTGTACGGTGACTTCATTTAGTTCTAGTCATAAAAAATATTCTTAACTTTCATGGTAAACTGAACATAAGTATTCAACCTTTAATCATTGAAAAATCATACTTCTCAGTTTAATACTTATAAAAAAATGCTATATAAAAGCAATTAACTTGATTAATTAAATTTAATATTGAGATTATATACTTATAATTAATACTAAATAAAGACACATTTTAAGTGAAAGCAGATTATTAAGACTTAGTTTATCTACTCAGTATTTTTACTGTGTTTTGTACTTTTTAGATTATTATAATCAAACTGAATTATCTATCCTGCAGTTGTTAAAAATGTGGCTTAGTACCCTTCAACGTTATTAATTTTTGGAAATACCACGTTAATAAAACCGGTTTTCTGGGAAAACATAATTTATTTTGATAATTTATTGACATTTTAGTAAAGTATTTGATCAAAATATATTTCAAAATATTTTTAAACCAATTTACAATTAAATTTTAATAATATAACATAAACGTGTTAATATCGTTAATGTCTCAAATTGTAGCTACTATAATGCATTCATGATTATTTAAACACACAATAAAAGAAAGCGAAATGGTAATATTTCATAATAATTGCGAAACTAAATATCCTTAATACTATAAAGTATAATTTTTACCTAAATTTAGGAAATATTTGTATATTTTCTAAAATTTCTCGAATATTGAAATACGAGTCTTAGACTATAGCACATATACATTAGTATAATTTGTTGTTTTGTTAATTAACATACATCTATTATAACACGAATACTCGTTTGAAATATTTTTATAATAATGAGTTAATTGGAAAATATTCTAAATTGTACAGCACAATGTTTTACGCTACGCACTTCTTAAATTCTACTTTTTGAATTTTTGCTTATATTAATTGAATGCGCAAAATTGATATTAATCATATTAAATATAAAATAACATATTTTATTCAAATTATGCTGACAAACTTAATACTTAATACATTAATATTTTTTACGTTTATGAAAAACTTTTTGATAAACGCATATTCTCCCTCTACTTGTATAATTTGCAGCATCTTATTATTGTTTAGTAGTATTGAGTGACCATGAACACGATAGTAATACATTAAGTTCAGTTGGAAGAAGTAACGCGAAGGTAAATAAATGTGTTTATTCGTGGACATGTAAAAAAAACAAATTTAATTTAATTGTGATAAAGTATTGAAAATTTTCTTTAACATGCAGTTTTACAAATTTGTTACTTTTTTATTTTTTGCCATCAATTCAGTTACACCTGAGTCAAAAAATCGTAAGTTATTTGTTTTTTTTTTCAATCAACTTATGATTATTTACGTATATTTACGTACGATCTTTATTCCAAAATGTTTTTATATTTAAAATTAATGAAATTAAAAAAATACAGTTCATTTACTATAAATATATTTATCAATTCATAGATTGCATATAATTTAACTTACAATAAATATTTGTTAAAAAATATTTCAAAACAAGAGAGCTGTTATGATAAATAGACACATAATTCTAGACTGGTAATTGTGGTTAAGCTTGGCTAGTTTCTACTAGCCCTTAAATAGTTAGTCTCTCAAATTTTGTCAGTAAACATAACACGTTTCTCAAATATGTCGTTAAACAAAAATGATGTTAAGGCTATTAGCTGGTTAATAATATCTAAATAATAATGAATTTTAAATACTATTAAACAATTTTCTTTAATGGTTGATTTTCATGAATAAAAATTTCAATTTACATATGCATATAAATACAATTTCTTTAATATCTCAAGATGTATAATTATATATATAAAGTGTCTCAGACCTAACCTACAACCCTTAGAACATATGATACAGTCATCATTTTAATAATTATTTCCTTCTTAAACTACGTTTATATCATATTTTTTTATTATTTATCAATAACAAAAAAATTTAAAAAAAGAATTGTGGTTTTATTTTTTTTAAATAATATACGTGGGCATTTTACACAGAATNTAACAACAAAATTTAAAAAAAGAATTGTGGTTTTATTTTTTTTAAATAATATACGTGGGAATTTTACACAGAAATGGATATGGAACGTGGGCGGAGTATACGTATACCACTTCCAGTTGCACCTACTTTCAGTACATGCCTACTCTATAAAATAAAATGCTTGTAACTCAATGAATATATATTCTAAATAATTTTATTGACTAATCAACATTTCTTTGTAAGAAAAGGGATAAAAATGGATATTTTGAATGTAATAATTAATATACAAATTCCAATTTTATTCTTATTTGTCATAAATAGTAAAAAAATATTATTTAAACGTAGTCTAAGCAGGTAATAATAATAATTATTATAATGATAATGATAATGTATCAAATTTTATAAACTTTGTTAGGTGATCAGCTAACTATGTCTCACGCAATATCTTTAAAAATAAAAATGTTATAAACAATTTTTTTTTTAAATCATTATGGATCTTTGATGAACTGTTTCAAAAAAAAAATTATTAAATTTCTATCATCATCCCTTATACTTAGAATTTGTATCAACTTCAGATTTTCAAATGGCAACTCTACATTGTTTTTATATATTTTTGTTTGTCATGAAAAAAAATGTTTAGCAAAAAAATAATATATGAATTTTCAACAAGATACGTTACTTTAAAATTTACGATATTTGATGAGAAAATTCAATAGTTTTTTCACACGGTCACATTATTATTTTTTGTAGCCATAAGAGCTACCGGTTTACTGTGTTAACGCACGTAGTCAGAATAACTAAGGTAAGCTTGGTATGTTTATTTATAAAACTGGTGACGCTTTCGATTTACGACTTATAACGTTCGAGTCTGTTATAATATTTTTTTAATAAACCTTAACTTTAGAGATAAAATAAAATAAAATATTTATTTTATAAAACATTGATTTTTATTAAACTAAATCTAATGGTGTAAAAAAAAATAGGGTTGCCATTTGAAATATGAAGTCCATAAAAGTTTTAAGCATAAGGGTTAATGGTAGAAATTTAAATTTTCTTATAAAACACCTTATTCAAAATCCATAATGATTAAAAAAAAAAAATTGTTCATAACACCTGTATTTNATTCAAAATCCATAATGATTAAAAAAAAAAAATTGTTCATAACAGCTGTATTTTTAAAGATATTACGTGAGACATAGTTAGCCAATCACTCTGTATACATAACAATGTAACTTTTATAATTGTCTATACTAATTATATATTAACAATTAAACATTTTCTAATAAAATAGATTGTATAACACCCCTTCGTGAAAAAGGTAATTGCGTTTCTCTACTACAATGTCAATCGCTTCGGGTGCTTTTGGAGAATCAAAGTTCAGATGAATCTGTCAAAAATTATCTTCGATATTCGTATTGCGGATCTGAAATGAATTATCCTAAAGTATGCTGTCCTTCCACAAATAATGATCAAAATATTTCTAATGTTAACAACAGAATTGGGCAACCCTCAAATGCTATGAGTAACGAACATAATATTGCTCCAGTATCTAAATTACCAGAACCAAACACTTGTGGACGAACTAACGTTGTACGTGATCGGATTCAGGGTGGAGAAACACCTAGCTTAGGTAAATACAATATTTGTAATAATAGTTGTATTAAAAACTAATTTAATCACTAATGATAATTCTTTTTTTAATTAAATTTTTAGGTGAATGGCCATGGGTTGTTGCTTTGGGTTATCGAAATAAATATAAGCCAAATGAACCACTAAAATGGTTGTGTGGTGGTAGTTTAATATCTGATAGATATGTTTTAACTTCTGGTTACTGTTCTACTGAATCTAGTCAAAATAAACTGTTAGTGTTTAATTTTTTATAAAATGTGATGTAGATAATTTTTGTGGTAGATTGGTAATAATAATAATAATAATAAATACTGTTAAATAAATGTATAAGACTGAAATAGCTTAAAAAACTTTTGAACCGTTAAAAGTAAAATAATGAATGTAGTAATTTAAAATACCACCAAAAATGTTACGTTGAGAGACTCTGTCTTTATATAAATATTATTATTTTTCATCGAATAATTTGAGGTATTAGTTCACTAGTTAAATATTTATGTCATTTAGCCCATTAATTTTCTCCAAAATTATTTTCTGTAAACATAAAAATTACACAGTGAATATTGGTTAATAATTAAAATTAATATTTTAGCACTGTTGCAAGATTAGGAGATTTAATCTTAGATCCCAATGTTGACGATGGAGCTTCTCCTCAAGATATTGCAATCGAAAAGATAATTCCACATGAACTATACAATAGACGGCGTCATAGTAATGATATAGCTATTCTGAAACTAGCCACTCCAGCTAAATTTAACAGTAAGTGTTTAAAGTAAATTTGATTGAATACATTAATTAATATAGGCATTGTAAATTTTTAGAGAATGTTCAACCTATTTGTTTACCAACTTCACAAAAATTAAGGACTAAATTATTTGTAAAATATACTCCTACAGTTATAGGTTGGGGAACAACTGAAGTAAGTAAGTGAACAATTCATGAAGAAATTAATTTACTACATTTCTACTTCTGTAAATATTGAATTAATTACAAAAATTTACTGAATTAATTTTATTTATTTTTATCCATGTATAAAATAAAATTATTCACTAACATGATATAATTAGGTATAATTAAGAGGTAACTGTTAAAGTTAAATGTTACTATTTCTATACAGAGTGGAACAGATCTAACAACTAACAACTCATATAACTTATGTATACATTACATTTTATACTCTTTAATAATTTTTATGTTATTTTTCGCAATTACAAAAAATATTTTAAAAATTAATTTTTATTTTTTAATTTGAAGATTAAGCCATTTTATAGATAAGATTTAAAGAAAAATTTTGATACCAAAAATTCTTATTTTAATTCAGTAGTTACGTTTATACAACATTTTGAAATTTGTTAAATTTTGATTTTTTATACAATTTTCCTATGGTGTCAACTGTTAGCCCATATTATGTAAAGTATGGAAGTACGCATTTATTACGTTTTTAGTGGTAACAGTACGCGATTTCTTTTCCATGAAAATTATTAACACTTAAATAAACTTTTAACTTGGCTAACAATCAAACATTTGTACGATAATGTTTCTAACTTTTGTAATAAAGATTAGAGATAATCATTTCTGTATAAAGCGCGTTAAACATTATTATTATCCATGAAAAAAAAATTGCGTACTGTTAAAAGTATATCACATAATAATACAGTGTTTACTTCCGCACATTACATTATATGGACTAACATTTTATACCATAGAAAAATTGTATAAAAATCAAAATTTAACAAAATTCTGTATAAACGTAATAACTACTGAATTAAAATAAGAGTTTTAGGTATTAAAAAAAAAAAGTATAAAATTTAATGTAGATCATAAGTTATATGAGTTGTCAATTAGATATGTTCCATCTTGTATAAATGAATGAATAATAGACTAAAAAATGTAGTATAAAGCCTTATTTTCCAATATTTTTTTTATGAACAAAGTTTTTTTATTTTAATGTTAAATATGCATTCTAGTAGTAGTTTCCTACTAATTCTTATTTAGATTATCTAATGAAAAGCGTATATCATTATTATCAGTTAACTACTATTGAATAATAGAATTTATTTTATAAATTTTTTTTTTCATTTGAGTTATACAATCTATACAATATTAGCACAATAAGCCCAAATGGTTAATGATTTTTTGATATGATTATTTTGAGAAGAATAACATTCTTCTGACAACACTATTTTTGAAGTAATATTATTTAGTAGTAAGATTTTTTTTTTTTTTAATTTTTTTATATTTATTATAAGATAAAAAGAAATCTACACCACTTCCTTTTTAGTTTTTGGGAGAATTGAAGAATGGTTTAGAAAAGAATTGTGGTATCGAGTGTAATGTTACACTAATACTGTCTTTAGTTGTAAGTCTGAATGTAAGGAATAGTTCGAAACATAATATTTCATAATTATTAATTGTTGCTCAGAAATCTTCAGATTTGTTATTAGAATTAGGGTGGGTATTAGGTCGGGGACAGATGTAGCTTGAGCATATGAGTAATTAAGTAGGTTAATAACAGCAGGGGTATATCAGTTATTGTAAGTTAGTCGGCTTGTGGATTTGATTGGATTACATTTTTAGGGGTTTGTTTAAAAGTATATTGACGGTTTCGCTGCAATTGTTTGTGAAATTGGGAGCTTCTATAGTTAGCGGAATGTTGGCCTTGACACAGAGCACATGGTGTTCTGTCAATTAGTTAGGTGTATAACATTCAGTGGTGGTTTTGACCACAACGTACGCATCTCGAATCATAACGACAGTTAGAATGGGTGTCATCGTATTTCTAACAGTTTTGGCATTGTACAATCTCTCAGCGTTTGTGAGGTTGTCCAACCCATATATTGTATGAAGAATAGAGGTTATAACATTGTCTTATATACCAATTATTACATTATTAAGTTCTTCTTCGCTATCTGAAGTATGTATAGGAGAGTATCAATTTGAAGTAATAAATAGTTTTGTTATTTTTTTTATGACTATTTGGTGAGGAAAGCAAAAGAGAAGTTTTTGAATGAAGTCTCTTTGAATTATTCTGTTGTTGACAATCGTTTTAGTAATCACCGCATATTACTTGATTTTTATGTGTTGTTGATGGAGCGGGTTTTGAGATATTATTAATAGTTTGATATAACATTATTATTGATGTACTTATCTGAACCGTTACAATAATGTGAAGCCGGGTGGTCGATGATCGAAATGCTGTTTTTATATCAGAGTTGAACTAATTAATTAATTTAAAATAATGCTCACCAAACGTAGAGTCCATAATGATTATACTACACTCTAAGTGAATACTGATGAAAAAAAATGTCTTCAAGTTGATATAACAATCAAGTCAATCCGATTTATTTCGTATGACGTTGAGAGCTTTTAATACAAAAAATTTAAAATAACGTGGTTACAGATATTCTGTCCACAAGGAGCTAATTTTTTTATAACAATAAAATTATTAAATTTTATGTCAGTTAGACGAACAATTGTATGTTATCAAATAATTTTTATTTTCTACAAGTCTTACAAGATACTAATCTTATCTGTTTGGAAAGGTATTTCGTAATTTTTTTTAATATGAGAAATATAAAATATCTGTTAATCATTTTATTAGATGGACCATTAAGTAATGCATTGATGGAAGTCGGTCTTCCTATCGTTGAAAATAGAGATTGTAATCGTTCTTATTCATCATTTCCTGTTACGATAGATAACAGTGTATTGTGTGCAGGGTATTTCAAAGGAGGAAAAGGTTCATGCCAAGTAATTATAATTTGTTTCTCAAATAAAAAACTAATAGTTGCATTGAAAAAATATTTTTGATGTAGAAAATATACATATTTATTATATTAATTATTTTGTAGGGTGATTCTGGAAATCCATTAATGATACCTCAAAGTGGACAGTGGTATTCAATAGGAATTGTCTCCTTTGGTTATAAATGTGGTGAACCTGGATATCCAGGCGTCTATACCAGAGTAACTCACTTTGTCGATTGGATATTAGACAAAATAAATAATAATTAGTGTTATATTAGTTAAATAATACTTCATTATACTTAATTAAAAAAAAATTGAATACAGGTTTAAATACTTGAATTTATTACTTTTAATTAAAAACAGATTTTTACAAAATGCCATTTTTTGAATGTTGTATTTAATAACTTTTAAACCCCATATGAACAATGTTTACATGTCTTATTTTTTAACTGGAAAAATTTATAATTGACAATTGAACCAGTAATTTCTAATGCTTTTTGAATACGTTGGAATGTTGTTAACAGGCGCCTACAAATACAAAGAATATATAGAGTGATCCGTTAACTACGTCTAACGCATTATAAGTAATTAAACTATTACAAAAATTATTTCTTAACAAGCAATAAACAATACCTAGCTATGTCATTTAAAACTATTGTATTATTTATTGATGTACTTACTGAAAATATTGTCGCATTAAATAGATAATATAAATCATCTTTAACAAATGTTATAGTATTATCATTTGCATAAAAAGCAACATCTATACTCGCTGGTACATTTTTCCAATCTCTCAAAGGTCTAGGATACTCATTGGATACTGGAGGCTTGATAATTGGATCATATACCCAGTATTTTTCGCCTTTAAGAAGAAATTATGATAAATATATTTTAATTTATATAACTGTTAGGTTCATATACCTTTAAAAAAATAAATCTTGTCATTTAAATTCATTGAGCTGTCAATATTATTTGGTATACCGGCGAAACCAAATGTAATTTCCTTGGGAAATCCTTTATCTAAAGAAGTATCAGTAAATCTCCAATACTTAGAACCTTTGAAAAAGTAAGTCTGGCCGTTTTTATATGTAAATGCAGCATCAATATTATTTGGTAGTCCTATCCATTCATCGATAATTAATTTTGGTTGTGGATTTTCTAATCCCAGACGTGTCCATTTCCAAAAATAATCATCTATCAAAAAAAAAAAGAAAAATACTATTTTAATTTGGTTTATGATAAATTATTTAGCAACTAAGATTAATTGTATATAATTATATAGAATATATAAGCATCACATGTAACATAATTAGTAATTTGACACATTTTAGCGTGAGGATTTGTGCGTGAAACACTAAGTTATTTCCTTTTTTTGTTCTTTCCAAACCATAATTTACAAAAAATTTTAGAATATTACTACATTAGACTATTTCTTACCTTACAAATTTTAAATGTTTGGTTTTTTGTTCCTATTTTTGATTCTGTGCCATAAGTAAATTTTATCGTTAATTTTTAAGAATGTCATGAATGTTATAAATGTAAGCTATCCTTTTACCAAAATATAGTTTAAAATGGTTATTTTTATAAACTAATAATAAACGATTTGTTTATAAATTTCATAATAAGTTTTTTTCCACAAATAATAATAACGAAAACAATTTTGTATATACATATACATACATATAGAATATTCAAAAAGTAAGGAAACGGGTCGATTGTTCTATATAATGAGTGTATGAAGTAACTACTCGGACGACAATTAGTCAATTGAAGGTTTACGTCTTTGATGGTCTTTGTAAAGACAAATTAAAATAAATTAAATTAATAAATCTAACATTTTGTGAACTAAACGAAACGTGAACATATAACGAAACCTATTTTAATGTATATATTATAATAGATTTTAAAATCTTTACATATTCAAAAACTATGCATGACTTTTGAATTTGAAAAATCACAAATTTTATCCGAACGGCGAAATACCAAAAATCACAATAATATTTAATTTATAATATTTATTTACATTTGATTTTACTTAAGTCTTAAAAATTATTTGAGATCAAACCAAATATATATTTTAAAAGTTTTTAGAATAAATAATCTTAAGTTTTTTTGAGAGAATATATAAAAAGAAAATATCATAGTAGCAACGCGGCATAGTTGGGACAAATATATATAATATTTGACAGTGATTAAAATAATTACACTAGTTTTTAACAAAATTGACATATGACTTATGATAGTCATTTTTTATGTAAAATCGTCCACTGAGTCCGAAAATGAAGTCCAAAATACAAAAAGTAGAACAGTTTTTGAGTTATTGCGATATTAGTGTTTTTCGTGTGCCGCGAAAAAGTGTTTTCATTATATTCTAAATATCTTTAATTGCATTCAACCAATTTTACATAAAATTAAACAATGTTAAATTACCTATAACTTTTATCTTAAACAATTTTTTATCTGACTTTTTTCTCGTTTGGTATTTACCTCTAAATTTTTATCATATTTTTCGAAATGTTAGAAAAAATTCAGAGTTTTACGTAAAATACACCAATAAAAAATAAATTTATCAACAATATACTCAATAGTCATTATACTCTAATACATAACAAAGAAAATGATATATTATTTTGTAATATTGATAAAAAAATAAAGAAGTTATGCACGATTGAAAAATAAAACAAATTTCCTAATATCAGAGTTTTCTAATTCGATGCTTTAATTTTATAAAATACGAGGTGTGACAATAAAATAACGAGACTTTTTTAATAAAAGTTATTTATTTTAAAAATTTTACAATTTAATGATTGTCACCTTCAAAGTACCTTCCCTCAGAATCAACACACTGTTGCATACGTCGTTGCAATTCTTGAAAACAATATTGCCAATCGCTTTCAGTTAGCCCTTTTAGAAGTTCTGCCGTTTTCATTTTTACGTCATCAAACGTTTGAAAATGGGTTCTTTTTAAAAAACTTTTAATTTTTGGGAATAAGAAGAAGTTACAAGGAGCAAGGTCTGGCGAGTACGGAGGATATTGAAGTATAGAAATATTTTTTTCAGTTAAAAAACTTTGAATTGAAAATGCACTGTGAGCTGGAGTATTGTCTTGGTGAAGAACCCAGCCATTCTTCCACAGATCTGGTCGCTTTTTTCTAACACGTTCTCTTAATTTAATTATTACATATTTATAATAATATTGGTTGACAGTTTGCTCATTAGGAACCCATTCAACAAAAATTATTCCCTTAATGTCAAAGAAAACAATGAGCATTGCTTTGAATTTCGACTTGCTCATTCGTGCTTTCTTCATTCTTGGGGAAGTTGATGTCTTCCAATGCATAGATTGCCTTTTAGTTTCAGGATTATATGTAAAAATTCACATTTCATCACAGGTAATGATATTATTTATAAAAGATAGATCATCTTTGATAATTTTTAAGGTGTCAGAACAAATTTCTTTGCGATTGAATTTTTGATCAATCGTCAAATTTTTAGGGACCATTATAGCTCACAATTTTTTCATATTTAAATTTTCAACTAAAATTTTACGAACACTATCTCTATCAATATTTACCATCTCTGCTACAGCTCTAACACTTAATTGACGATCTTGCCGAATAATTTTGTCAATTTTTTTGACTTTTTCGTTTGTTGAACATGTGGTACGACGTCCAGAATGATCATCGTCTTCCACGTCCTCTCTTCCATTGTAAAACCGTTTGTGCCATTAAAAAACGTGAGCTCTTGATAAACATTCTTCACCATAAACTTCACATAACATACGAAATGATTCTGCGGCAGTTTTTTTTAATTTAACAAGAAATTTAATGTTAACACGTTGTTCGATTTTTATATCTAACATTTTTCGGCAGTATAGTCGAATTTGCACTAATAACAAGGTTACTAACGTATAAGAAAGTTAAACGATTTCAACATTGTTTATAGTACTTTTAGATAAGTGTTTCCTAATCATATTTCAATAATAGTTTTATAGATAACGTTAATAGTTTAGGATATATTTAGAAAGTCTCGTTATTTTATTGTCACACCTCGTATAGACAAAAATATTGAAAAATTACTCACGCTATTACTTTTTAAAACAAAATTTCGATTTTTTAAATAACTTAAGGTTATTTCATATAGTTTTATTGGGATATTTTTAAATTGTTAAATAATTAGCTCATTTATATTATCCTGTTCTATGTTTAGTTCTTTTAATCTTTAAGAAAATCAATTGGTATATTTATCGGAACACTCGGAAATAAGACTACTACGTCAAAAGAGCATCAAATTACCTGTCATTATTTTGAATTGTATAACCAGATAATTTTTGAACAAAGTCAATATTATTTTTAACTGTTAAGCTATCGAATTTTTGAATTGTTGAAAATACCCTAACTAAGTGTTTAACAAATTGTAAGTCGAAAAATTAATATTTGACACAATAGATCTCATATTATTTCCTGGTTTATGTATTTTTGGCAAGGTTATAGTTTAGGTATTAGTAGGAACTGTTGAATTATTCCAAAAACAACATGAACTCTTATTTACTTATTTATATCCTGATTACAAGTTTTATTGTTTTTACCAATAAATCATGAATAAATACTTATTACAGTAATTAAATTTAGTATGAAATTGATATTTAATAATTTAATATTGTAATTTTTATGGGGCAATTATAAAAATTTATAAAGTTGTTATATTTAGGTTGATTCTTTTAATATTATCCATTCAATTTTCATTTAAAATAATAATTACATCATGAGAATTATTTTTGAAATTTTTATTAATAATTTTTTATACTTCTTAATATATTAACCATTATGTGTTTTTTTAAATTCATCTCTCATAAATCATATAGTTCTAACATGATTTTTTAAAATAAGTACATATATAACTAACTAGCTAAAAATATAAAAAATGACTAGTCAAAAACAACTATTGAAAATATACTTCACAAGTTATTAACACTTTCTAAATATAGTGTGGAGGAAGAGTGACGCAGATTAATGCATAACGATAAAAATAACATAACCCATACTTTATCTCCACTTAATATTTAAAATACATATTATTTCTAAAATAATAGGCCGAAAGTTGTCATTAACCAGTCATTTCCCTAATAAAATCATTTTTTATTTTATAAGCTAGTTAAATATGTATATCATTAGTATAAAATAAAGTTGATGCCCTTAAAATGTGTAAAGGATAAATTTAAAAAGTTATCATAATTTATAAATCAAGAAATATGAGTAGCTAAAATTACATAAAATCTTTTTCTTAATACAATTATTATTTTATGAGAAATTGGTGATAAGAGGGGCCATTGGGTAAAAGAAGTACCTGTATTTTGCTACTTAATTTATCATAAGCTATTGTTAGTTCAAATATCATTATATACCTAGCCCTTTATATTTTATTATACAAATTGGATTAACATTAAAAGTTACAAAAACTTTTCCTGAAAATATTTACTTACACTTAGATCATGTTTATTTATTTATTTTTTGGTAAAAGAGGATTAAATGGGGTAATTACACCCTCCTGTTATAAAACTAAACCATTTGACTTAAAATATAGACAAATTAATTGAAATAGAAAAATGTTGATTTTTTGTACTCTCAAGGGAAGTATCTTATAATACGTGTATAGTAAACCAGGGGCCTCGGCTTCTACTGGTGGAGAGTCTCAGATGGACGATTTCAGTAAGAAGGAGAACCTCAACTCCAAGACGAATGTCTTTTAGATATAAAGGATAGGTATGAATAATCAATAAATATCTGTGAACCAAATAAAGAGTGTGGTTAGGCAGTGACAACTTCACTAGAATGTCATGGCGTAGATCAAATATTGATAGTTCGGCGTAACAATTTACGTTACAGTATATAAGTAATATCTTACTAGAATACAATTAGATTCTAAATAAATAAATATTACTGCAACTTACGCCCCGACTGTTGTTAGCGACGATGACTTGATAGAAGATTTATATCATGAGAGACTTTAATGCTAAAATTGGTGAAGATAAAATTATAGGAGTAGTCGAAAAGTTTGGATAAGGAACAAGAAATTACTGTCGAGAAAAATTAATACAATTTTGTATGGACAAGAAATTAACAGTAATGAATATATATTTTAAACTCCCAAAAAGACGATTATACACTTGGAAATCTCCTAATGATACAATAAACAGTAGTATGAAATAAAATAAACTACATTTAAATTAAAAAATTAAGCAAATAAAACAACCAACTTGCAAAAATAAATTACATTTATAAATTCTGAAAGATGGGAAACTACAAGAGAAGCTTATAGCAGACATTGAAAGTAGAATAAAATTGACCCAAGATAAGATTGTAAACGAAAACTCGGATGTTAGCATTGATTAAAAAATTTATTACAGAAAGTAAACTGGGACAGAATATTAAAACCATGGATAACTGACAAGATTCTTAACTTAATGAATGAAAGAAGGTATACAAATGTAAATGACCAATATCATTATAATCTATTAAAATGCCTTGTCGTTGATGCCACTTTTCTCTGTTTGACGCCAAATTCTTTAGTGAAACTAAAGACGCACAGTTCATGAATTTCAGGATATTTTCATAATAATGTTTTCTTGGGCGTCCTTTTGGTTTCTTTCCAGTTATTTTTCCTTCGAAGATTATAAAGTCATTGTGTTGGATGATGTGTCCAATTGATTTTATTTTTCTTGATTAAATCACCTTCATCAGCTGTTTTTCTTCTCGTTCTTCTTCTAGAACTTGCTCATTTCTTTTTTGTTTAACAATTTTGTCTTTGTCAATTTTTTCCATATCCATAACTCTGATGCTTCTAGTTTGCTCCAATCATTCTTATTAATTGTCCATTTTTCACTGTCATATGAAAGCACAATCCAGACAAATGTTTTAATCAATCTTTTACGTATATCAATACCAGATATTTATTGGTGGCAAAATTATGCTTGTTTTGGAATACTTGATTTATTGCCAATGCTATTTTTCTTCTGATGTCTGATGATGATTTGTTATTGGAAGCTATAATAATTCCAAGGTAGCAAAATTCTCATACCTTTGATAATCGTGTATTGTTTATTTGTATATTAAGATTTAAACCTGAATGCATTTTACTTATAAGCATTGTTCTGGATTTCATGGAATTTATTTTAAATTTATCAAGTACACTTGATAGGATTTTTAGTATATTACTCATGTCATGTTCAGACTCTCCTAAGATAACAATGTTATTTTAAAGCGAATACAGTATATATGTTGACCATTTATTGTCACTCCATTGGTCTAGATTTTCATTATATATGTGTTAATTTCAATAAAATGATTGAATAGATAGGACGACAATGGGCATCCTTGTTTCCCTTCTCTCCATATTATTTACCAATCCATTTATAATTATTTATATTGTTTTATCTTTATATAAATTTATTTCCAATAAATTCCTTTTTCTTTTAATATCTAGAATAAGATTTTCCAATCCTCTTTATCGAAAGACTTCTCTAGATCTATGAACGTTGCTATAGTATTTCTTTTCAGTGTAATTCTTCTCTCAAGGATCTGTCTTAGTGCGAATATCGCTATTCTTGGTCTTCACCCTTTTCTAAATCCAAACTGATTTTCTGATATATTTTTTCCTATGTTCTCTCTCAATCTGATCTTGATAATGTTTAGAAGTATTTTTGTATCGTGAGAAAGAAGCGCTATAGTTATAGCTATAGTCTCCACATTCCGTTACATTGCTTTTCCTTGGAACTGTTATAGTTCTGCTCTTGATAAAATCCAGTGATAGACTTCTTCTATTATAGCTATCTTTAATAATTTTAAACAAGTGATATTTTGTCTATTCTCCTATATTTTCCAGTTGTTCAGCCGGGATATTGTCAATTCCTGTTACTTTTTTGTCACTCAGTCCTCCTACAGACTTCCCGAATTCACTTATTAGTATTTCGGATCCTATTCTATCTTCATTTACATTTATTTCATTTTCAATATATATGACCTCTTCATTTTTAATCTCCATTTTCCCCCATGTGAGTTCTTCCATATACAATTTCCTCCTCTTTACTACATTTTCATTTTCAAATAAAATTTCTCCATATTTATCTTTAACCATGTTTCTGGATGTCTTGGGTTTATATTGCAGCTTTTTAATTTTATTAAANGGGTTTATATTGCAGCTCTTTAATTTTATTAAAGACTTTGCCTGTATTGTTGCTAAGTAGATTACATTATATTTCTTGTATGTATTGATTTAGCCAATATATTTTGCTAAACAGTATTTTGTTGTTATTTTGTTATTTACCTATTTATATAAATTGTAATATCTGTTCCTTAATTTGTTCCTTGTTTCAATAAATTCAAGAATTTGTCAAGTCATCCATGACTTTCTTGGTTCTATTATATTTATACCAATTATTTTGTCTGGAACTCTAATTATATCCATCTTCATACTATCCTAGCTATTTTCTCCAATATTAAGTTCATCTGAATTCATTTTGAATTCTTCTGTTATATTTTTGTTTTTCAATGCATGATTTCTTATTTTTTGTTACTTTAGGTTTTTTTTTTAAATTGATGTTGAATTATGCCATTACAAGATTGACCATAATCTGTTGATGTCATATCCTAGGTAAGCCTAGCTAGATTTTATTTGAATGACCAATAATATAAACATTCACAGACAAATAAAAAGAGAAATAAAAATTTCAAAAGAAGTACACTTTGCAAATGAATGTAAGAAAATGGATAATTATTTGATAGTTGGTGACAATTTCAGTTTACATAAAAAAATTAAAGACACAGCTAGAAAAGTAACAAAATCTACAGAAAGAATCTTAATATATATGGATAGGAATTTAATAAAAATCTAGTAAATAAATTCGAGAGATGCCAACTAATTTGGAAAAAGAAATTTTCCACGATATGTGCCAAGAAGAGAACGAAATTGATGGTAGTAATGGACCATCAATAATGGCAACTTAAGTGCACAAGGCTATAATTAAGTCAAAAAAACAAGAAAACAGAAGGTCAAGATGAGTTACAATTAGAATTACTTAAGACCCTGACCTGACACTGGTTACATACCAAATGAATAGCTACATTCCACATTTGTAGCAATGCCCCAAAAGCCAAACGCAAAGAAATATAATGACTATAAAACAATTAATGTGATTAATCACACATTTAAAATATTCTTGAAGAATTGACAAAAGAACGGAAAAATATAATAGTCAAAAACATATAAGTCAAGAACAATTTAGCTTTCGTAACGGACTTGGAACTAAAGAAGCTTTATTTAGCATACAAATACTTGTTCATCGATGCTGTGATATCAACCAAAAATTATTTTTGTGCCTTATCAATATCAAAAAAGCATTTGACAAAATAAGGCATGAAAAACTGATTGAAGTTTTACAAAAAACTGTTATAGATAGAAAAGACCTACAACTCATAAAAAACTTATACTAACATCTAAAATCTAAAATTAGACTAAACAACACACTCTATAATGAACTACAGAATTCAGAGATGAGTTCAACAAGGATGCATTCTATTTTTGTATTTATATCGTAATAAATAAATTCAATAGAAATACTAATCATTTCTATGTAACTCTTGGTAACTAAATAAATGCTACAATTAAAATATTCAGTGCTGTGTTCCGTATAATTATATCCTATAATTTTTATCTAATTAGTAATAACATAAAAAATTAGTGGTGATAGAAAAAATCTAATTGCACAGTTAAATCTGTATAAACACAATTATTAGTCTTTATTTCATTACTTTACAGTTATTTCATTATTCAATTTTTATCAAAAAATAATTTTAGTCCAAAGATGTTTTTAAAAGTTCTACATTGAGTGTGTTTTATATATTGAAAATATTTTACAATACAAAAGTTAAATTTATTAGTGTTATTAGTCTTAGATTTTATTAATTAATTTTTTTTTTTTTTGTATTGTTTAACAATGTAAAACTAGAATAACTGCTCTAATCGTGTCAAATAAGCAGCATTTATTTATATTTATTTTGTATGTGTTTATATTGTGATATTTTTGTACATCATTTATTAGAATCCGTGTAATTAAATTTTGTAATCACTTTATTAAATTTACTTATTATTCTCCTCTATTTAAAATACAATTTGAAATTTCAACCGTATTTCAGTTTTTTTTAGCTTCGATGCGAAGTTGAAAGGATATTTTATTATTTTTATATAACTAATTCCTACTACTTTTTACTTGGCCATCTATATTTCCCTATTAGCGTAAGTGAACCTTCTCTTAGGGGTTCTTGTGTTTTGGTCATCCATACTGTGCTCTCGTTTTTAAAAATGCTCTTACCATATTATTAGATATAAGTAGAATTGTTATTGGAAGCCTAAGTACAGATTATTAATGTTAAATACATAACTTCCGACCCATAAAATTTAATCAAATAAGATAAGTTGCTTTTGTCATAAACTAAAATATCACTATTACTATTATCATCCAATGAATTTGATTAAATGGGAAAAAAATGGTAACTATCAACTACTTGCATGTTGAACCAAGTCTATTTTTTAGATTGTAAAAGTGGCCTTTCGTGATAAATTTGTATCACATCATGTTTCTTGTTAAGACATGCTTATCATGTTAAGATTTAATNTAAATTTGTATCACATCATGTTTCTTGTTAAGACATGTTCATCATGTTAAGATTTAATTCCGTTAAAAATTAATGTAATTCTATTATAGATATAAGTACTAAACTAGAGAATTTGTAAAAATTAATATTAAAAAAAAAAAATTACTTTTAAAAACATAGGTTTCTCCTAAATTTGTTTTAAATATAGTATCAATTTTTGAGTTTTCACACAGTATATTATTAAATTTGTTGTCATTGTTTTGATTGTAAACTTGCCTTTTAAATTGTTTTTTTTCTCTTGTTTCTATTAGCTTTTTTTCGCCATACAATTCCTAGGGTATATTTAATATTATTTCAAGAATTATAAATAATAATAAAAAAATACTTGAATGCCTTCAATGTCATCATTTTTAATTGTAATATCTGGTATATAACCTGGATAAACTGGTCTCATAGCAGAATATTTATTTTTTGAATGATCTAATCCCAGCATATGACCAAATTCATGTGCTGCTACTTCATATAAATTAGTTCCTGCAAATATTTTAAGTTAAAAATCATTATATATATATGTATTTATAAACTAATTTATATACTAGTCTTATTACCTTTATTAGTACCAGCTGTCCATATTTCCGAGTCATCAAAGTGAACATTATCTCGACTGGGTAACAGAGTATGAGCATAAACACCTAATTTCCCGTCAAACGGAGTAATGTCACCGTGTTCATGAGCTCTAAAAGCTATGTTAATATGAACCTGGCCAAATAAAATATAAAATTAGTACATAAGTTTAAAAAATTTTTCATTGAAGCTCAAAGAGATTTTTTAATTTAATTTAATTTGTTTTGACGTATAATAATGTTTTTGTAAAAGTGATTATTTTAGGTGTGTTATGTTGTTATAAACAAAATTATCTCATAAGTATAATTATGCGTGCTTCCGTTAGATTATGAGGATGATAATGAAAGTAATATATCTTGTGGTAGTCGTAGCTTCTATCACCTATTTTTTGTCAATTTTTTTATACAGATTTGTCAGTTAGATCTAACTGAAAATTCATGACTTATGATTTTCATAATATTTTATACTTTTTTTTTTTACCAATTTTTACAATATAGGACTTCATTTTAAATATGTTTTATGCTTTTTTTCACAGTTACAAAAAAATTAAAAATATTAATTTTTCAATTAAATTTTTTTTTAAGATTTAGAGATGGTCATTTCATAGATAAGTTAAAAAAAAAATGTTGATACCAAAAACTCTTATTTTGATATCGTTTCTACAATATTTTGGAATTTGTTGAATTTTGAATTTATTTACGACTTTTCTATGATATCACACATAAGTCCACATATATAAAGGATGGAAGTAAACATTATCTTTTTACGTTATTTTTTGTTGACTTTACATGAAAAATAATTTATAATATAGAATTTAAAAGTTTATCATTGTCTGGAATGGATTTTGTGGTGAGGTATTTGAGAATCATTTAAGTTATGAAGTCGAGTCCAAGGCTTATTTTATTTGTGAATTATGTTTTATATTTTTTTAGAACTGCACTATACTCATAAGACTCATTATACTTATACTTGCATTATTTCTTGTTGAATATTTACTTTCTGATGTGTCTATCATGTTTGTTTCTTCCGCTGTAAAACAGTTTATAAAATATTACAACAATGGCGTTGTATTTTTTATATCAGTTATATATTTTGCAAATCTAATTTTTAATGGTAATATAATATCAAATAGTTATAAATAAATTTTAAATCGCAATCCATAAGTTACAATAGTTGAGGTGCAGTGCCAAATGATATTTGTTGTAATTATTGTATCTGTTGTTATTCAGGTCTCATATAATTTTTCCAGTTTTCCATTCAATAAATGTCTCATATTGTGAGGTATTTGGGTAATATTGATACATATTTGTAATAAATTTGATAGAGCTAATATCATATTGATAGCATTTCTATGTTTCTTCATTACTTGATTTTTTATTATTTAGTTGAGACTATTGGTTGGTATTGAGAAATCTTTTTTTTGTTAAGTGAATCTTGTTTTTTTCCTTTTTTGATCTGATTTGGGAACCAAGAATGTAAGTCATCTTGATTTAAGGATATTTTACTTTTTTCTAATATTCGATGTACTTGAATTACAGATATCCGAAGCTGAAGTCAACTTAATTTGATTAGCAGTCAAAATTTAAATAAATAATTAATATATAAAAAGTTTAGTAAATTATGGTTTTAATTAACTGTACAAAAATAGATATAAATAATAAATATAAAATAAAAATACTTTTTAGAATTTTCTTATAGGATTTCAAATATATTACGGGCATTTTTTTTTTTTTTTTGATAAGTATAAAATAAGTTGAATAAGAAAGACTTAAAAACATTGATTTTTATATAATGCAATCGATAAACATATTTGAAATTGTGTAAAGGTACTCATTAAATTTTAAATTAAAAAGAGTTTGAAATCAGTTAAGAAGCATGATTTAATTTCCCTCTCTCTCTAAAAATATATTGAAGACTTACAATATAGTTGCGTCAGGTCGACAGCCGGTGTAAAATTTTGTTAAGAAGTATGAAGAGTCCTAAACAGAACTTAGGTGGATTTTTCCACCTTGTATATAAGTGAAGGCAACAGGTGAGAGGATATAAAGTAGTTAGAGGCCAAGAAGGCCTAAAAATAAGCTGTTTTACCAGTCATGTATAAGCCTACACAACGCTTGTAGTGTCAATGGTGTAGGGCCATCATCACTCGACTCTAGTCTAGACTCACTTGTAAGGAAAAAAGTGTCGTAAAATTAGTTTTACGACTATAATTATAAAAGGAAAAAGAATTGAAAATAGTAAGTGCCTATTCACCACAAGTAGGATGTAATGAAATAGATGAAGAAGTATTTTGCAGAGATATGGTTGAGGTAATGCAAGGAATACCTGGTAATGAGGATGCAGTAATAGATGGAGATAAACTAAAGAGTACATGGAGGGTATGGTTCTAGTGGGAAAAATAAGGCTGAACAAATAATCCTGGATTTCGCAGTATCAAATGATATAAAGATTATCATTATGTAAGGCGTATAAAAAGTACTTTGGAAAAATACTGAATGAAGAGTACACTGGGAGCAAGGACTGGTAGATTTAATTAGTGTGATAAAGGTATGGGGAGTAGTGGCATCAATAAAAAAGAATAAAATATTATAACCAAATGAAGTACCTGTAGAAGTAAAAAAACCCAGCACAGGGGGGTCGCGGCACAGTGGTGACGTGGCATAGTTGGATCAAGTATAATGATATCTGACAGTGATTAAAATCACTATCAAAAAAAAAACGCTTCGATGCAAATCTTTAGATAGTGTTTTATTTTAAAAAATTNGATGCAAATCTTTAGATAGTGTTTTATTTTAAAAAATTAGTGGATTATTCCAAAAGCTACATGATCTGCTAGTTCCTTATTAATATCCTGATTAAAACAAACTATGTCGAATAAAAAAGGGATTATTAAAAAATATTATTTCTCATAAAAAAATAATGTTGATCCATACACTTTTCAATATGTCATAGCATTATAAAGTTAAAAATGTAAAAAATAAAATCGAGAATTTTCACACAA